CCTTGACTTCCTACTTTTGCATTCCAGTCCAGATGAAAAGGACATCTTTTTTTGGTGTTAGTTCTAGACAGTCTTGTAGGTTCTCATAGATCTGTTCAACTTCAGCTTCTTAAGCATTAGTGATTGGGGCATAGACTTGGATTACTGTGATACTGAATGGTTTGCCTTAGAAACAAGCAAAGATCATTTTGTCATTTTTGAGATTGCATCCAAGTACTGCATTTTGGACTCTTTTGTTGACTATGAGGGCTACTCCATTTCTTCTAATGGATTCTTTCTGACAGTAGTAGATATAATAGTCAACTGAATTAAATTTGCTCATTCAGGTCCATTTTAGTTCACTGATTCCTAAAATGTCTATGCTCACTCTTGCCATCTCCCATTTGATTACTTTCAATTTACCTTGATTTGTGGACCTAACATTCCATGTTCCTATGCAATGTTGTTCTTTACAGCATCAGACTTTACCTTCATCACCAGTCACATCCACAGCTGGACATTGTTTCCACTTTGGCTCAACCTCTTCATTCCTTCTGGAGCTATTTCTCTGCTCTTGTCCAGTAGCATATTGGGCAGCTACTGACCTAGGGAGTTCATCTTTCAGTGTCCTATCTTTTTGCCTTTTCATACTGTTCATGGGGTTCTCCAGGCAAGAATGCTGAAGTGGTTTGCCTTTCTTTTCTCCAGTGGACCACGTTTTTTCAGGACTCTCCACCATAACTCATCTGTCTTGGGTGACCCTATAGGGCATGGCTCATAGTTTCATTGAGTTAGACAACGCTGTGGTCCATGTGATCAGATTGGTTAGTTTTCTGTGATTGTGGTTTTCATTCTGTCTGCCCTCTGATGGAGAAGGGTAAGAAGCTTATGGAAGCTTCCTGATGGGAGAGACTGACTGTGGGGGAGACTGGGTCTTGTTCTGATGTGGGGGGTGGGGGAATGCTCAGTAAATCTTTAATCAAGTTTTCTGCTGATGGGTGAGGCTCTGTTCCCTCTCTGTAGCTTACCTGAGGCCAAACTATGGTGGGGGTAATGGCGGTAATGGCCACCTCTTTCAAAATGACTTATGCCAGCATGCCGCGGCTGCCAGGACTGTTGTAGCCTGTGCCCCTGACTGTTGACCCACACCTCTGCCAGAGACTCCCAGATACTCACAGGCTGGTCTGTCAGTCTCCTGTGGGGCCACGGCTCCTTTCTCCTGGGTCCTGGTGAGCACAAGGCTTTGTTTGTGCCCTCCAAGAGTCTGTTCCCCCAGTCCTGTGGAACGTCTATAATCAAATCCCACTGGCCTTCAAAGTCAAATTCCCTGGGGATTCTCAGTCTCTTTGCTGGATCCCCAGGTTGGAGAATCTGTTGTAGGCCCTGGAAATTTTACAACAGTTGGGAGAGCTTCTTTGGTATAACTGTTCCCCAGCTTGTGGGCTGTCTACTCAATGGCTCGATAGTGGCACTAATGGCGACCTCCTCCAAGAGGTTATGCCACAGGCCGTGCCTCCCAGGTCTGCTGAAGCCAGAGCCCCTGTCCCCGTGGCAGGCCACTGCTGACCCCTGCCTCCACAGGAGACACTCAGAGGCAAGTCTGGCTCAGTCTCTTCTGGAGGTCATTGCTCCTTTCCTGGGTCCTGGTGTGCACAAGCTTTTGTTTGTGCCTCTAAGAGTCTCTGATGGGTCTGAGGTTTGATTCTAAACATGATTTCGCCCCTCCTGCCATCTCGTTGGGGTTTCTCCTTTGCCCTTAGACGTGGGGTGTGTTTTTTTGGTGGGAGCTAACATTCTCCTGTTGATGGTTGTTCAGCAGCTAGTTGCAATTTTGATGTTCTTGCAGGAGAAGATGAGCGCACGTCCTTCTACTGTGCCATCTTCCCAGTATTTTCTGAAAGGTGTTAAGAAGTCTTTATTTATTGTACTGATTGCCAGCTGCCAGTGAAGACAGCTTTTCCAAGAGCTTTTGTTTTTCAGCTCCTGCGTCATTCTAGGAATGAGATAAGGAGAGGAAGATAGCAGATAACTTCTCTGAGGAGGGAGGGAGAGTTCACTCTTGAGGGCATCATATAACCTTAGTGTTAAGGTAAGAAGCCCCTGCCCTTATGTAAGATGTGTGGGTGGGAGACAGTGCATGGTGGCCGTAACCAGGACAGTTCCCCTCACATCTGACTGCCTGTTTTGGAACCAATCGTTTGGGGCTTAAGACGAGACCTGTGGACCCATGCATTCTAAGTCTTATTTCCTTCAGAGCCTCCTTATGTTGTTTAATTTAGTCAAAACACGTCAAAGTATGTGGCTTCAGTGTCTGTTAGTTCAGTGTCTAATTACAAATAACAGGAGATGGCTATGTCCACATCATGGCCAAGTTCATCAGCAGGGGAGAGGAAAGCTGATTATCTTTCTCAGCAGAGGATGGGGCAGCACTGTGGGAACTCCAGGCAAATAGGATCAGACTGGCGATGGGGAGAGAGAGAAAGGAAATGAGAAGGGCTATTTCAACTTTCTGGAGTGAAGATTTACTGTTCTTTTCATCTGTTTTCTGTGAGAAGCCCTTGGTCACCCCCCAGAGCATTAAGTGAAGGTTTCCCATGGTTCCACAGAGGCAGAGTTTCTGGGGCATTCAGCCACATGTGGCAGTCTGCTTCCTGCAACACTGTCAGCTATAAAAAACAACAGGAGCAGCCTTTGGTTTCTGTCGTTGGGTTTATTACTCTAAAATTTCCCTCTCAATTAAGGTCTTTGTTCTGAGCGTGTCAAGAAAAACATAACCTTCCCATTTATCTACTTAGATTTTTTTTTTTTCCAAAGCAGGAGTGCCATGGTTTCTCTCAAAAGTCTTATCTCTTGGTTCCAGGGATTAGAATTCTTGCCCAGTGATTAAGAAGAATGACTTTCCAACCAGGATGTTCAGACCATGTCAGTTAGAATAACTTGACAGTTCCCTTCTCAGTGGGTGTGGGTTTACTCCGAAGATCAGGTTTGACTAAAATGTATGTAAGAGCCAAGAACACGACTCAAACTCGGTTCCACAATAGATTTTCCCACTGTGGCGAATCTTAAGGCTAAAGGAAAATAAATGGTGCTGAAATGGAAACTTCTCCTTGTTTCACTTGTAATCTGATTTCCCCAGAGCTTTAGATGGGGAGAACATTATTGGCAAGAGCAATAAGCTCTTGATATTTTCTTTTCTTCTTCTTAATTTTTTTAGCCCAATATTCAGCATTCACATGCCAGACACAGCACTGATCTTAGTGCTTTGACAATTTTAAGTTTTGCCTGTTTTGGTTCTGCCAATATTAATTCCTTTAACGTCATGATACACACATAAGTCTGCAGTATTATTATCTTTACTTTACTGATGGGGAAACCAAGGCACAGAGCTGGAAAGTGTGGAGCTTGGATTCGGCCCAGGCAGTCTGGCTCCTAAGTCTGTACTCACTGGTCACATGACGCCTCTTCATCTGTTGTTGCTTAGTTGTGTCCAGCTCTTTGTGACCCTTTGGACTGTAGCCCACCAGTGTCCACAGGATTTCCCAGGTAAGAATACTGGAGTGGGTTGCCATTTCCTTCTCCAGGGGAACTTCCCATCCCAGGGGTCAAACCTGTGTATCCTGCATTGTCAGGGGGATTCTTTTCCACTGAGTCACCAGGGAAGCCATGTATCCCTTAGCAGCTGGGAAATGTGGCAGGGAAGTCTTTCAGTCTTTGGAAAAGTCTGAAATGAAAGAAGAACAACTCCCACTGTTAATCTGTATAATTTCAATATAATTTGATGCTAAACTTTTTCTCATTTCCATGTGATTTCTCTCTTGAATTAAGAGTTATTTAGCAGTCTCCCATATCAACTTTGAAACTGGGTAATAGCTCTTACTGACTCAGGTGAAGAACAGAATGGAAATGAAATTGTTCATCATCTTTTTGTCCTTATAGTCCATTTTTTTCTTGCTAAATTATAGAAGACCATTATTTGATTGAAACCATAACAAACAGAAAAAACCTCTGATTGCACAGTCATGAGTATCTGAGTTTGAATCCCAGCTCTGCCACTCACTAGTTGTTATCTTGTGATGCCTCAGTTCCCTCCTCTGCAAATTGGGGATGATGATTTCTACCTCATAAGGTTATTAGAATTAAATGAGTTAAAACTATGAAAAGTGCTTAGGATAGTGCCTGGTATGTAGTAAAGCTCAATTAATATTATCTGTTGTTATTCTAACAGTGGAGTTTGCAGTCACATTTCAATATTATTTCACATACTTATGTTCCTACTGTAGACTAATTTAAGGAGAAGTTTTTGATGTATGAAATAATAGTTTGAGAACATTCTTGAGCTAATTTTTACATCTAGAATAAACCATAACATGACTTAGCCTGTCATTAGCTGTCCACTTCTTCTGTCTCTCAGAAACTAATATGTGTTTGATAGTGTCTTGACTTGCTGTGTTAGTTGCCCAGTCATGTCTGAATCTTTGCGACCCCCTGGACTGTAGCCCACCATGCTCCTCTGTGCATGGAATTCTCCAGGCAAGAATACTAGAGTGGGTTGCCATTCCCTTCTCCAGGAGATCTTCTGGACCAGGGCATTGAACCTGGGTCTCCTGCATCGTAGGCAGATTCTCTACCATCTGAGCCTTTGAGAACATTCCTGAGCTAATTTTTGAGTATAGAATAAACCATAACACAACTTAGCCAAAGCTATCACTTTCTACTTCTTGTCTCTACTCTTGTCTCAGAAATTAATATTTATTTAATAGCATTTTGACATACAGAACTAAATTGCCATTTAAAAACAAAAACCAAACATACTTAACTTATCCTACACTCACTGTCTCATAAAGTGGAAAATTTGAACCAAAGAGAATCTGTGTTTTGTATCATCAGATCCCGAGAAGGAAGCCATGCTCTTTTACATATATGAGAATAAGGAATCTTTCCCAGTAGGGAACAAAATATCTGCGTAATTTAGTCAGAGAGAGAACTAGGTTAAGAACAAACAGACTATGCTGTGTGGGCATGATTCCAAGTGGACAGCAGTAGAACGTGGGCCCTTGGAAGGACTTGTCACGAAGTTCTTCAGATTTTCCCATATCTCCGCTTCATCATCGGCTCCTTTATTCTTCTTCCTCTTATTGCGTTGCTGTGCAATCAGATGAAGAACTGGTGGTTGAAAGCCCTGTGGATGAAATGCCTAAAACAGATACTCCAATTCTGCATCATCCTCCTCTAATTCTGCATTATCATCCTTGAAACTTGGCCAGAAACTTGGGTGGAAATCAAGCCATACAATAATGGGGATCAGAAGAGTATGTCAGCTCTCTGTTTCCCCAGTAGAAAATAAGTAGTCCCTCTTCTTTGGCAAGAAAGGAGGAAGGCAAGTGCATTTCACACTCATACGGAGCCTTTTGTGTTTTTTTTGTTGTTGTTGTTTTTGCCTGTGCTTTGCACAGGTTTTCTCTTGCTGCTGTGAGCAGGGGCTACTGTTGGTTTCAGTGCACAGGCTTCTAATTGCAGTGGCTTCTCTCGTTGTGGAGCACAGGCTCTAGGTGCATGGGCTCAGTAGCTGTGGTGCTTGGTCTCAGTAGCTGTGGTGCTTGGTCTCAGTAGTTGTGGTGCTTGGGCTCAGTAGCTGTGGTGCATGGGCTTAGTTGCTCTGTGTCACATGTGATCTTCTGGGACCAGGGATGGAACTGGTATCCCTTGCATTGCAAGGCAGATTCTTAACCACTGGACCACCAGGGAAGCCCCATGGATACATTTCTGTTTGGAACAATCTTATGCATATTGAAAGGTCTAAGGGACCCTTCCCAGGTGAAACTTACTAAGTTCCGGCTTTACATGTGATCATGGAAAATAGGAAAAAGAAAATAAGCATTGTGATTAAAAAGCAGTTTCTAGAACTTTAGAGGAAGGAAGATGTCACATTGGGCCTACTTTGGTGAAATTCTAAAAGAGAAACAGTGAGCTTTAAACTCCCAATTTTTTACCTTCTGTAATAATCCTTTGTCTTGTTGCAGGTATATTCCCAAAAAGGAGGTGAGTGAGTGTGTGTGTGTGTGTGTGTGTGTGTGTGTGTTATAGATTACATAGAAGACTATCTGTATTTTTTTGTAAATGAAATAATTTAGAATGCAACTGGAAAACCACTTCTAAGTTACTCTTTTGAGACATGAGTGATGGCTGCCAAATTTAATTGTGTGGCAAGTTAAGAAAGTGCTCAGTGTTTTTCTTCAAGTGGAGTGAATTTAATTCATGTTAGTCTGAAGCAAAAACAGGGTAAATGCTTATTAAAATAGAATATTAGTAATTTTGAAGTTCGTGATGTCAAGAGCATGTTACTCGAAACTTGAAGCCTTTGGTGTTCAGGTGTAGAACCTTGTATGATGGGCTGACTGCCCAGTGACACTTTTTGATGCCAGTGGAGAGTAACACCGAGCTACTGCCAGGAAGTTAGAGCAGTCACCCCGTGGCCTGGCACGTGTATGCAGTGACTAATAAGCGACAACCAAGGTGAAATCGCACTGCATTGTTAAAGGCTACAGAGTCACCGAAGCTAGGGAGATCAATCACACAAAGTTGTGTGTTTCGGAAGAATAAGACTCTGTAATTTGGAACGGGTTCAGTCCTGGTGTTGCCATTGACTGGTAAAGCCACTTGACTGACCGTGCCCTGCTGAAATCATTGGTAAAATGGGACTCTGATGCCGGTTTTATGGTGGTGGTGTGGAGATCCATCACGGTAGGTACGCAGTAGATATCCTTTGAACCGAGACTTTCCGTGGGGGATGTGACTTAAGAAGAATGGCAATGGCAGAGATGGCATGGAGGACAAGCGTCCCATCAGCAGGGGGTGCTGGCGTGTGCAGCGTGGTCTCCTGGATGAGGGAGTCCTTATTGTCCCTGCCTGCTCACTGTCCCCCTAGGGTATTTAACAATGAGTGTAAGTCATTTCACTGAGTTCCCTACATATGAACTTTCAAGTTGCAAGCCTTCGAAGATGCGAACATGTGTTCCGTCAACATCACACGTCAGTGCAGTTGCGGCTTGCCCTCCATCTCCTATTGCTGAAGACCCTTCAGCTCTGTCATCTCCCTCTTCTCCTCCCTCCTCCGGTCAGTAACCCTTCCTGCCTATTCACCCCATGCCAGCCCCCGAATGCCAGCCGTTGTACTGTACTACTTTACTTTTCCAGATAATGTACTGTAAGATTTAAAATGTTTTCTTTATTTTTTGTGTTTGTTTTTTATGTATTATATATGTGAAAGTATTATAAACCTATTAGAGTACAGTGCTGTGTAGCCCATTGTGTTAGTTGGGTACCTAGGCTAACATTGTTGGATTTACGAACAAATTGGACTTAAGGAGAGCACTCTCGAAACAGAACTCATTTGTATGTAGGGGTCTTACTGTACTGTTACTTCTAGCTTTATTGTTTCTCCTACCTGCTGGACAAGATTCTATGCATTTTATTTATTACTTAAAAATATTATACAGTGTAGTTAACTTTTCTTCCTTTGGGTATCCAGTCATGAATTTGAATATATGCGTGGATTCGTGGACTCACCAACACAATCAGAATACAACAGTTCCATTGCTACAGATTATCACTCCCTCATTTTATCTCTATATACTTGTACCCTTTCCCCTTCTCCCATAACCCACTCTCTGCACATTTAATGCATATTATCCACTCATGTGACACTAGGCATGTCTCTTTTCTAACACGCTTATAGTCATCTGTTCATATTCTGCCTTGCTATTTTAAGAGCCCGGAAACCATAATATTCTTTTCTTTTTTAATAAGAGCAACAGTTGTCTCTTATTTATTAATTTATTTTGGTCGCACCTTGGGGGATGCAAGGTCTCTGACCAGGGATTGAACGAACCCATGTCCCCTGCAGTGGAAGTGTGGAGTCTTAACCACTGGACTGCCAGGGAATTCCTCCATTATAATCTTATTCCCTGCCACCTCCCAGTGTCCAGCTCAAGCCTGACACGTAGGCGAGGAAGGACCGAGACAAGTATAAAATGCGTGAATCCTTACTCTCTGAGTCCTAGTTTCTTCTTTTCTTTAGATAAGGAAACAGTTGAGAGAAGTTGAGAAACGTGCCCAAGACCACACAGTAGTGAACTCCAGAACCCAGGTGTGATCTTAAAGCCTGTCTTCTTTCTGTGCTAAGACATATCACGACAAGCAGGATTTGCGTGTTTGTGTTAACTCGTTTGGAAGTGAGGATATTTAAATATCCAGCTTTTAAAATACCCATGGTGTGTTGGTGTGTTGACATCAGTGATAAAGTTACACTTGGACTGTTAGATAATGTGAAATCTGAAACCCAGTTTATTTGCCATATAAACTCAAAATCTTATTCTCTGCGCTAATGCCCAGCTGAGGAGGTATTCTTCCTTCTAACCGCTGGAGGGGTGGATGGTGCCTTTGACTGTGGGCAGGTGGAGCGTGGGGCGGGCTGGGCTGAGGATGTTGGAGGCAGCTGTGCCCTTTACTTCCCTGCTTCGGTACCTTTGCTGGAACCGAGCAGAACAGAGCTCTCCAACTCCCCATGCGCATTCCTTACCCTTTAGTCCCTGGTACAAAGGAAAAGGCAATAGCGGATTATACCTCTCAACAGGGCACAAGAGCTGAAGAAAGTCTGTGGGTTTTAATAGCTCAGCTCTCCAGTAAGAGAAATCTGGTAGGTTAGTTGGTTTTGTTTTTTTTCCTTAAATTTTCCTTTTTTTAAAAAAAGAAAATCCTGAGCTTAGAAGAGAATTTTGTGTACGTTTCAAACTGGTCCCATAAGGGCTGTAAGGCCTGGCAAATCAAGTACAGCCAGAGAAGGCAGTGTCCCATCCCTTTGGTTTTTCCATGGAGCACCTTTGAGATGCTAAGGGCCCTGGATCTAGGTTGCTTGTTCGCAGGACACACCAAGCCCCAGGGAGCTGAGAGGTCATAAAGTTAGATAAGTCAGCTCTGATCCTGAAGTAGATTAGGTTTATTCTGTTGGTTTTACCAGTATGAAGTATCTTACGTAAAATTCTTATTACTTAAACTGCTATATTGCTTTAAAAAAAAAAAAAAGACAAATGAAAAACGCCACTTTCTCCCTTCCTTTCTTTGTATATTGAGTCATTATGAAGCATCTCTTCTGTGCCAGGCACCCCCTGCAACGCCATAGTGAAGGAGATACATGTGAGTCTCTGAGGACGCGGATACAGACACGTCAGGCAATTCCACATCCGTGGGATAAACAGTTCACAGGCGCTGTACAGAGGCTGAGGTGGGCCTGGTGGGAAGGAGATGCTGCCCCTGAAAGCTGAAGGATAAATAGTTCTCCAAGCAGATAGCAAAAGATGAGTGTTTTAGGGCAGAGTAAAAACATGACATTTATCGTCCTAGTGGTGACAAGGGAGTTGTCACCCAAGAGAAGGGACAAGAGTATTCACAACCATTGACAAGGAGCCAGAGAGGAGTGGCAGCTAATCATGCAGGACCAGTGCGCTGTGTGAGCATCCAGGAGACCAAAAGGTATTTTAAGGGCAGCAGGGAGTCATTGAAGACTCTCTGCAGTGAGGGAATACAGGTGTATTTGCAGTGAAATCACAGATTTGAGATGCTTTGAAAGTACTGTGTTCATATAACTTGGGACTTTGCAGGTCTCTCCCATAGATTCACAGCTCCACCCCACCCCACCCCCCAGCTGCCTTATTCCCAGCTCAGACCCCTGATAGCGATGTAGTCCCTTGGTGCTGATGTGACTTTGGGGTGTTCATTCCTCAAGGTTCTCAGATCTGACTGCGCCTCACACCATGCACTCTTACCAGACAGCAACCAACGGCATCATTTTGAGTAAAGAGGGCGAGGGAGAAGTGGGTCCTTGTATCTGTTTCAGAATAAATGTGTGGCATATCCTGATTGATCATGCTTCTTTCAAAAGTAGATTTTAAATTCCACATACATGTGTTAATATGTGATAATTTTTTCCTCTTTCTGACTTACTTTACTCTGTATGGCAGAGCCTAGGTCCATCCACATCACAAATGACCTAATTTTGTTCCTTTTTAAGGCTGAGTAATATTCCATTGTATATATGTGTTACATCTTCTTTATCCATTCCTCTGTCAATGGAATTTAGGTTGCTTCTGTGTCCTGGCTATCGTAAATCGTGCTACCGTGAACATCGGAGTGCTTGTATATTTTTGAATTAGGGTTTTCTTAGAGTTTATGCCTGGTAGTGGGATTGCTGGGTCCTATGATAGTTCTGTTTTTAGTTCTAGGAAACTTTTAGTTTAGGAAACTTCATACTATTCTCCATAGGGGCTGTATCAATTTACATTTCTACCAACTGTGCCAGAGGGTTCCCTTTTCTCCACACCCTCTCCAGCATTTATGTGGAATCTAGAAAAATGGTACAGATGAACCTATTTGCAAGGCAGGAATAGAGATGCAGACATAGGGAATGGACATGTGGCCGTGGTGGGGAAGGGGAGGGTGGGACCACCTGGGAGATTAGGATTGACCTGTATCCTCTGGAGAAGGAAATGGCAATCCATTCCAGTGCTCTTGCCTGGAAAATCCCATGGACGGGGAGCCTGGTAGGCAACAGTCCATGGGGTCGCAAAGAGTCGGACATGACTTCGCTTGTTCCCTTCTTCTGTATACACGGCCATGTGTAAAGCAGACAGCTAGTGGGAACCTGCTGTGTAGACAGGGAGTTGAGCTCNCCATGGGGTCGCAAAGAGTCGGACATGACTTCGCTTGTTCCCTTCTTCTGTATACACGGCCATGTGTAAAGCAGACAGCTAGTGGGAACCTGCTGTGTAGACAGGGAGTTGAGCTCGGCGCTTTGTGATGCCCTAGAGGAGTGGGATGGCGAGGGGCCTGGGGAGGTCTGAGAGAGGGGGCATATGTGTCCACATATAGCTGATTCCCTTCATTGTGCAGCAGAAACTAACACTGACATTGTAAAGCAATTATACGCCAATTTTTTATAAAGTAGATTTTAATTCTCTGATAAAGTCTCGTCCCCATTTCAAACA